CACACCTAGTAAAGAAACCACATTTTAATGTGGCTTCCACAGCGTTTGAGGATATGATATCATCTACAGATATTCAATAAGATTGTCTACACTAAAAAAACCTTGTAAGTTAAAATACAATGTTGCTAGACCACAGGTATGAAACGTGTGTGCCCAGTACTTTTTTCTACAACAATGCCATTTCATTAACATTTAAAAATTGATTTAGTTGAACTGCAGGACATGTGACTTTGTTGCTGAAAGCTCAGCTCCCGACTGTCATTCATCATGCCAATGCCATCTCCCAATGCCATCTCCCAATGCCATCTCCCACAGGTTGGCATATCTAGGTTTAAAAAACAAAAAAACAAGTGTGGAAGCGGCTACAGCCTTGACATTGTCCTCATACTGACTTTGTAATTCTGTTAGCCCTTAGGAAAATGGCAGCTGTAAAAACACCAAATTAAAAAGTATAATATTCACAATCCTCTTCCCGTAGTCAAAATGACACGCAGTCTTTTAAACAAGGTAAGCATATGAAACATGAACCATGACAAAAAATGCAAATTCCTTCAATAAAAGAAAGATAACAAAGCAAAAAACAGAAAAGGACAGAACAAAATCTCTCCTGAATGAACACAACTGACATCCCATCCAGTCCGAAGATGATACAGTAAATATTACTATGAAGAATGTTTCAGGACAATACCTGCAAAACACATGACTGGCTTCACATGGTAGCAGATAAACTGGCAAAGGCTCCAGATTGCGAGGCGCGCTGCCACCCCCACGCACAAGTCAAGAACCAAGAAAGGCAGGCGCTGGGGGGGCGCCAGAAAAGAGGGTGACTGAAACTCGGCGTAATTAATAGTTCTGATTAAAGTGACAGAAAGAGGACAGATATTCAGGACAAAACCTGAGTTTGAAAAATGTGCATGATATTGCATCAACTCGGGGGAGAACCAGAGTAAGCTCACACTCCAGAACCCTGGAGCGAAGAGAAGTGGGTGTGGCCTTCTGGGGGGCGGAGCAAATCAGGGGAAACGCCCTGTTACTTACCTCGAACCTATTTATAGGTTTCAAGGCTGTCCCTCAACACATCAAACCATTTTACATTATATATACGCATATATATATCCGCATACATGTATATATACATATAAACACACATACTTGTATTTGTACATATAAACACACATACTTGTTTATGTACATATATACACACATACATGTATATGTACATATAAACATACATACATGTATATGTACATATATACACACATACACCCCTGGTAAGAGTTGATTTCCCGGTGGCTGCAGACCAAGTCATTTATCTTGCCACATGGAGGTACTACATGCAGGGATGGTTGATTCTCCTCAAGACAACATCACTAATGGAGACCCAAACCCTAAAGGTTTCATAGCTTACGGCCATACCACCCTGTACTTAATCTAGTGGCTTACTCTAGTCTGAGATGACCAGAGAAAATCTATTTCTCTCTTAAATAGTCTATTAATGTTATATCTGATGATGAATTTCAGCTACACAGTTCCTGCTGTTTCAAGAAGAGTGAAAATCAAAGACATCCCTGCATTGAACCCTTGAGACAGTGTTTTGTCTTTTGTTGCAGTTATGCCCGTCATACATAATATCTTGTTAGTTCTTTTTTATTGGTGCTGGGGTTAAGGAGTTCAATATGGCTTTCATTTGATACCTAAATTAGTTACCAGCATATCCAATATTGAGCAAAAACCTTCAATAAATAGTGGATATTTATTGAATAGTAGTAATTAGGACTGAATAAACAACTAAACATAACTGAGGATATTTTCTGAATTAGCTGTGAATTGCTTAAATAAGTTCAGAGCAAGCAAAGGCAGTTTTTTTCATAAAACGAATGTGCAGTTGCAGCATAGAAGCCATTATGGTTTCTGCTTTTTCTATTCAGTTTGAAAATATTCAAAATATTTCCAAAAATTACCTAGGAAAAGTATAAATGTAATTTCTAAAATGCTTAGCAAACAGAGCTCTGCTCTAAAAGAACCTTGTTTAACTGAAAACTAATAACAGTACCAGGGTTACCTAGGCAACAGTGCAGTCAAAACCAGGCTTTTCTGAGCGTCTGATTTCAAGAGATCCTTGCTATGTATTTGTTAACAGTAATTTCATCACTGCAGTTAAAATCCCAAAGCAATCAAGGATACAATAGATTTCAATAAACTATTGAAACTCTGCCTTCTTGGTCAGGTGTGTCTGCATATCTATCAAATGTTCTGCAGAAAGTTAATCAGAGTGCAATTTTTTACGAGCATGACTCCTACAGACATGGCACTGCTTGGTTTTTAAAATCCCATAAATAAGATATAAACTTCAGAATGTTTGGAAATACAAGATCAAACATTTGGAGGACAGCGAAAAGATAATGTCCACTTTTGCTGAAGGCTTGCTTTGAGATTTTACTTTAAAAATTAAAAGCAAGAACAAAGTTGATAAAAAAAAAGTAGGCAGTAGATGTAGTGTATGACTTTAGCTAATAAAGAAGAACATTTCAAAGGTGTTGCGATGTTCCCAGTCTAAATTATAAAATGGATAATGGATGTTAGTAACAATTACTCTTGTACGATTCAGCTGGGGACCGTTAGGTAAATGATTGAAATTCAAGAGCGCAAGACAGGTATTTGTGCACCGAGATAATTTCAAACATGAATAGAACATTTAATTCTATAAGCAGGCTCGTAGGCCCCCAGACAAACTGATTAGTCATCATAATCCCCAAAGACCAAGTAAATGGCAAACATACAATATTTGTTTTCTCTCTGTGAGCACGAGACTTGGACTTCCCTAGCTCTTTAATGGCCATGGAATGAACGGGTTGGGCCTGACTATTGGCCGGAAGCCTTAGAAGACGTGCTCCATGGCTGAGCCAGTCGCTGAGAGTAAAGGCCACTTCTCCCTACCCTTCCCTTTCCACACTCTGACTCTGCTCTGCTGAGTGCAGAAATGAAAAACTTCTGAGTTCAATGAACCACCTAAAGCTAATCTGTGTCACTCCACTCTTGTATTACATAACAAGTATTTTTCCCCGTTTTTTTTTGTATTTTTTTATAAAACCAAATATAAGTAAGGGTAACATGTTAAGAAATGCAATTAGACAAGCTTCATTGGTTTTATTGCCTGTGGTTACACACTGTTGATGTGATACAAAGAAAGGTGGCATTTATTTTGGGGTATATCGCTGTTCACGCTACTGTGCATATCCACCAACTGCTTAAGATAATGCTAACTTGCGATAACGTATCAATTCTTTGACGTAAATCCTTAATGAAAAGGTTGAGCAGGAGCGTTAGATGCGATGGAAACTGAGATACAACACAAATTAAATGAAGCAAGAATTATCACTGAAGTTTCATGCAAAGAAATCGACCATGACTGGCTGTCGAATTATTTTTTTCCCCTCAGACATATTTGCATGCAGACATGAACGTCAGGAAGACACAGGCTGCTAACATAGCTTTCAGCTGTGCGACTCTTATTCAGGCACATCTACGATTTATTTACAAAGCCACACAGTCTCAGCAAACACACTAGCAAACTAACAGTTGTATTGTTGCAGGTTGTATCCATTTATCACTTTTGTAACTTTTTCACTGCTTCCATTTACTCAAAACATGACAAAGCCCTGAAATATACTCAACAGGAGCCAGCCCCATAATTTTTTATCTATATTAACGGTTTAAATGAAGTCCAGGTCTTTCTCTATTTGAACCAATGTACAGTAATAATTTGATCACTGGCTGGTTTAAAGGTTTTAGGAGGCTGTGGGCAAAACAATCAGCAGTACGATAAAGAAATACATTCAAATTTCTGACAATTTTTACTCAAGCCTGGCAACTTTCATACTGTAGGTTTGTCAGGATGCTGCTTCAAATACCACTGATACAGATTGGGAAGCCTAGTGGCGTGTGCGTGTTACTGCGGCCCTGATCCAGAGGAGAAAAGGAGAGGCCTAGATAGATAGCGGATGCATCTATCAAAGATTGCAGAAGAACAGTCACACAGCGCAGGATTAGGAACAACAAATATCCAGAGGCAATTCAGAGGCAGGAGAGAAAAAGGTACCACTGGAAAAAAAAATACGGTGTGACTGAAGACACTTCAGTTCTCAAAGTGCCATCCTGTGACACTGGTGAGCACACATAGAGGTCTCTCAGATGGTAATACACAGTGGTGAGACACTGGTGAGCACACATAGAGGTCTCTCAGATGGTAATACACAGTGGTGAGACACTGGTGAGCACACATAGAGGTCTCTCAGATGGTAATACACAGTGGTGAGTCAGCAAACAGGAAAGCACCGAACGAGGTTCTGCTTCATCCCCCGATTGGCAAGAGGAACAACAGACCAAGACAGACATTTCTGCGCATGTGCTTTTACAGCAGTCCCCTTAGTCTCATTGCAGACTGCCTTTGCAACCAATCAAATAAATAGAATTATTTCCAGGATTAATCATGAGCTAGAGATACCAACTGGTTAATGTGATCCACAGGTAAGTGTTCCGGACGGGATGCCAGTCCATCACAGGTGACAGACACAGTGTGCAATTTAGATATGCCAGTCAGCCCAACTATTACTGGGCTGCTGGAAGACATCTGCAGAACTCTAGCCAGCTAGGGAAAGGAACTGCAGAGATGGAGAGCTGGGATTCGAACCACCAGCCATAGAGATGCAAGGCAACAATGCGAGCCACTGAACCACCAAGCTACAGTACCTATCGCAGAACGAAGGTAGAGAAAACGACAGTGACAGCAGATTCTGCTTTAGGTCTTTAGGTCTTGCTTGTTTTGTGGACTTTGGCATTACTACCAAGACACAGAAAAACCTAAACTGGGCTTTAAACTAACCTAGCAGCAGCATGATGTGCTCCTATTGGAGGATTCCTTTGAAGGTACGATTGTTTGAATGTATATTGTTTGAAGTAAACATAATAAGTCATACACCTTCTTAAAATGATATCATTACCTGTTCCTATAGAGCAAAGTCAGATCATCAGCAGACGTCCTAAGCACGGCTCTTTCTCTTGGTCACTTTGAATCCTGCCTTCTCGGTCCTCCTCAGTTTGCTCACCTACAGGAAGGAGATCCAGAGCACAGTCAGGAACGAGAACAACAACGTCCACAAGAAAACTGAAGAAGACTCCACCGTTTGACCAGGCTGCTCCCAGCAGCTGAACCACGCCCAGCGACCCCAGTGACCTCCAGGGGGGGGGGGGTGTACATCTTGCCATCCACTGTGTGATGAGGCTGTTCCCAGCACCTGAACCACACTCAGCCACCCCCACAAAGAACAGTGAGTGAATTTCGAGGAGCACACTTCACCCGATAAAACTGAGCTTGACCTCAGAACGTGGAGATACAATGACGGAATTAGGACTTTTTTCTTCCACTTTGCCTACTCAGCACTACGCCAGCAGAAATTCTGGACTTTTTCCTCATGCCTTCCAAAGAGGCTAGAGCTCAGGGCAAGACGGCTCGAGCGGGGTCACGCCGCTTTTAAAGCCAGAGCGCCAGAGAGACCTTTAGCACGCGCTAATCCAGCCCAGCAGCCCGTTTCTTTGGAAAACAAAAATAAAGGAGCTATTTTTACAATTAACTACTTCACTTTGAACAGCCTCACAAGCAAATCCTTCACCACAGGCTGTTACACTTGTACACACGAGGTTCAGCAAGCAGCCTGGAGAAGACAGCAGTAAAACAGAGCTACATGCCATTAATAATACACCAGCAGAAGAGATGGGAATCAATTAGATATCATTTTGGCATGAATAAAATGTTCATAATTGATGCAGGTTCTTGTGCATAATGCATGCTTGTCAGCATATCTCCATGTGACATAACTTGTGAGGGAGTGTGTGTGGGGTGTGTGCGTGGGGGGGGGTTATAGTGCAGGCCCAATCGCTGTTCTGACTATGGCATTTACAGGGGCAGTGTGTGACTCAGCAGGGTGAATTGCTGTGGTTGTCCACAGGTTGCCTGATCAAATCCCAGAGTAGGAAGACTAATTTCATGCTGTACACTGTGTATTGCGCACAATGGGTATATTATACAGGTGGAATCCAATATATCTTGTATAATGTTTTTAAGATAAGTGCTGTGTGGTGTTTATTACAAGTTCTCATCCTCACCAATTCACCACAATTCCTCAGACACACAGAGTCCCTGGCAAATAAAGTCTGACTCTCACTTTGATTCTGATTGGCCATGGGGCCCTTATCCCCCACCTGCTCCTTTAATTATGATTGGCTATGGGGCCCTTGAGCAAGGCCCTTATCCCCCATCTGCTCCTGGGATTGGCTGACCCTGCTTCCAATTGTATGGCATTAAATTGTATTGTATACCAACTCAGACTCGGCACAGAAGATAAAGAGTGAAGATTTAGCAGAATAAACAACCGGCAGAATGGCTGACATCCTTCTTACAGAATCTTCAGAAAATATACACAAAAAATGTTGGGGTCTGCGCAGGCCCCCACGCTGAGGTGAGCTAACAATGCTGGGGTCTGCGCAGGCCCCCACGCTGAGGTGAGCTAACAATGCTGGGGTCTGCGCAGGCCCCCACGCTGAGGTGAGCAGACAGGGGAGCTCAGTTTCGATGATCCACAGGCCGGCAGAGGAATGGATACCCAGACCAAGCTCAGGTCAGGGCAGGACAGCGCTGGGGAGGTCAGTGTAGGAGGGAGGCAATGGTGGCAGGCAAGGGCTTCTATACAGAGAAGACAGATGGCCCACATTAAAACAGGGAGTCATGTGACATCCCCCAGCAGCAGTACTGAGAGCAGGATAATTAAAAGGTATTTAATCAAATTCCTTAAATTAAAAAATCCAGCTGGACACTCCCAGCCCCCCCACCTTCCCCCAAACTTCCATGTCTGGTTGCTTTTCATGTCCGTCCTACTTCCAAGGGCAACAGGTCAAAGTTACACACACATTCAGATTTCGAACGAGGAAGAGAAACACCCATCTAAGCCCGGCGGGTCACCCAGCACAAAACACGCTGTTGTTTCACCAATTGTGATTCATGGGGGAAAAAAATCAATAACTTTCCACTCGTTAGGCCTAATTCCCGAAACGCAGCTAACATACCGTAGAAAGGCAGGCGCCTGCATCTCGCGTTAATCACATCACCAGGACTTTGTGCTAAATGTCTGACACCAGCTGAGCCAGCGACCTATTTTTTAGACACTTAATTCTCGGAAATAAAAACAAGGGGAGAGTCCAGCAGTGACAAAGCTCTCTGAGGGCCGATGTCACTTCAATCCACTTCCTGGCTGGAGACTGTATCCTTCACTGTTCAGGCTGCTCTGCTACGCCAGCAAATCACAGGCTGCAGGCTCCCCTCTCATGCCTGACAGGAAGCGCGAACGTCCCAATCAGAGTGACCCCCAGGGGGCGTACATCTCGCCATCCACGTGGCCACGAAGCAATGAGGAAAACAAATGAAATCGCTGGACGTATTTCAGCACATAATTCAAGGGGAAGTGTGGATATCTCAGTAAAACTGTGATTCCAAGCCTTTGCTGAGAAGAATTTTGTATTTTTTTTTCTTCATAGTGTCCCAAAAATTAATTAGACAGTCTATGCTGAGAGGTTCCAATGCAGGACAGACCTGACCCAGGGGACACCCTCATATGGCCTGCAAATGTATTCTGTGCTGAAATTTTTGGAACAAAAAACTGAATGTTTTGTAATAGACTTGACAGGAAACCCACGGAAGCTTCTATCTGCAAATCTGCCCATCTGCTTATTTTTCCGACACTGCCACTCTACGGAGTGTCATCTAAGGAACAGGCAGCGTGGGAGATCAGCAGAAAGCCCCAGTCTACAGCGGCATTACACATATCTCTGAATTTGGTTAACTTAAAATTTTCTTTGCATTTTTTATCACCCTATAGAAAGAATTTACTCAGATAAGTTAAAAAAAAATGTCTTAACAGTCCAGTGCTTAGCAGCTGAGCAATTTTTAATTTCCAAGGTCATTTTTATCTAAGCCAATATTAACAACTATAAAATTAAGAAAAAAAAAGATTGGTTTACCTTGCTAACAAATTTACATTATATACTATATAAATCAACGTAGCTTCCTTACGTTTATGCATCCTGGTCACATAAGCTGACTGCCTAAACACCATTAACAGCATTTTCTATATTAACTACTGCACCTATAAATACATACAAATGGCACAATTTATAAAAAGAAAGAAAATCACAAGGGAAAACACAGCGGCAGTGTGACTTAATAAATGCTAAATGGGATTATTTAATGAGAGAATGCCTTACATACACACACAGATATCTTAGTGGTTCCCTAAATTATGAAGGATTTTTATCATTTCTTTCTGACAGTCAGCTTTCCAAAGCCCAAACAGTACACAGTACAAACTGCATCCATAATGGTATATTTTGCAAATGACACCATGAATCCATTTTTAATGCGGTCAAAGATCCCCAGATCATTCACAGTTGTCAGATGTTTTGTTTTTTTGACATCTGAATAAAAGCAGTTTTTCATCTTTTTGGTATCTAAGGAATAAAATAATTGCACATGAATCCAGCAGGTTTCAATAATGAGAAATAAATCCAGAGCATAAGCAACCACAAACCTGCATTTTACTATTAAAAACGAACAACTATTGCTATGTTAAGGAAAGAAGAGATGCTTTTAACAGCATGAAGAAAAAAAATATGTGTATGTATGTATATGTATTATAACAGGTATGTTGAGTAGTGCGTGTGTGTGTGTGTATATATATATATATATATATATATATATATATATATATATATATGGTGTGCTAATCACAGATGTTCACAACAGGTTGATTTTATTTTGCTCCATCACAGAACAGAGGCAGGCAACACAGTGGTTTTACAAAGTTGGATGTTGAATTCCCACAACCAACCCGTTTGTTCACACGTTTTCTGCCGTCTAAAACACATGCAGTAAAGTGAACTGGAGTCTCCAAATTACCCACAGTATGTGTCCCATTTCCTGGGAGAAGCTGTAGGCTGTACTGGATAAGGTGATACAGAAAGCGGATGGTGTGCAACGCATATCATTCGGTATCGTTTGAGACCAAATTAGCAATCTAGTGTATATATAAAATGTAAAACATATTTTAACCACTACTATCACACAACATATGCCTATGCAAAAGAATACAAGTGCGCAGTCTGCCGATACTTTACGCATTTCTTCCAAATGCACATAAAAAAATGCCGCGTTGTGCGGGTTAATCTGCTACAGACTGAAACAGAGCACCCAGCTTCATGATGACACGTAACAGAAGGCGCGAAGGGCCCCCACATTTCCGAAGTTACTCTCATATCCAGTTAACTAAATAGCGAGCTAACTGCCCGGAATACCTCATTTTATTACCTAATACGTATACGTAAGCCTAGCTTTAAACGGCAACTACGAAATAATAAATAATGGCTATATAAACGTTATATTTTTTTCAAATGGACACAACCGGTTATTTACATAGCATACCGTCCTTCATCAATAAAGCGATTACTGATTCAACTGGAAAAAGAATATAGAACTCTTTGCAAAATCCACTGAACGTTGCAAGGAAGACCGAAACAGTTCTAATGGTTCGTAGCACAGTCTGTTTTACATCACCAGTGAGACATGAGAAAGGCTGCTAGAGATTTATCTTAAGATCACTATCGAGCAATTTCAGTTTCGTCATTGTACGATATTAAAAGCATAACACATATTTGCCCTCCGCATTTATAATCGTAAAAAAGTAAAATATTAGGTTTCATGCAATATACGAGGCGTGGACCTCCAGCTTGACTACGTGGACCAAAAGGCTAAAATTCTAGTCGTGCCAGTGTGACAATGACAGACACTCACCTTCCGCAGTTACATCTGGAGGCGCCGCGCTGCCGCCTGGGACATGAAGTCCAAAAAATTCTAACGCTAGGGCTTTTCATGCTTAACAAACTACATGAACCACAATGCGTACATACAAACACTTTTTCTTCCCTGTCTCGACGTTTACCGGAAGCAGATTTTTTTTCCTCAGATAATTGACCTGCTGCGATGGGGCACGTAGAAAGCTACAGTGTTATAGTCTGTAGCTTTTGTTTGTCAGCATGTAACAGTTAGTTGTAAGCAATAACAATTAAATAATCTGGTTAGTTTTGAGAAACCTCATATTAGTTTTTAAATCCTGCCGATTAGTTCAAATTTTAATTTGGTTCAATGTAATAATATAACCTGCAGTCTTACAAAATTAACCGTTAGTGGTGATGCAAGAAGATGATCAGCCTTTAAGGGACCAAACTGAACCATTTCGGTAGCGCTTAACATATCAACTTAGGTTTTAAAGATATCCATGACTTTTTAATGGGGGTACCATACTTAAATTAAACCTCTGGTTGTCCCTGGATACTGGGACTATCATAAACAATGGAGTTTCGTTTGGCGGAACAGAATCTTTGTTTTTAACTGGTAGGATTAAACTACATTACTGCATATTTTGAAGAATTTTCCATCTTACCGTATCTTCCCAACGTATTGCAACCTCTCTCATGATGTAGACATTTAAAAATGAATTGAACTCTTTTTTTGCCATCAGTTGACAGAAATACCCATAGTGAAAGAAAAACATATTTGTTCAAAATTATTTAAAAATAAAAGTATTCAGTAAATGTTCATAGGTATTCAGACCCTTTATTTGGTACTCAGTAGAACTATCTTTTGCAGCAAGTCATCTTTGGTATGTATAGCTACTTCATACAACTGGACTTGAAATGTATCAGCGAACTTCAATCCTCAGGTCTCACCACTGATTATTTGGTGTCCGTGGAAGATTCTTGTTGGTTCCAGAGTTTTTCCATTTGGTAATGATGAAGGTTGGTGTCAGGGCTGCCAACTTTTGTCAGCTGGCTGAAGTAAGGTTTTCAATCGGAGGCTAGTCTGCACATGCATGTGGCAGTTTTATTACCTTGTAAATAGTCTGTAGGGTTCACAAACTAACCCAGTGCTTCAGATGTAGCTAATTTTAGGTTAATAAAGGCATAATATTGGGGCGGCACGGCGGTGCAGTGGGAAACACTGTCCCCTCACACCTCTGGGACCTGGGTTCGAGTGTCCGCCATGGCTCCATGTGTTTTGGAGCCATGTTGTAGTGGGATTCCTCTGGGTACTTCACACCCCCCCCAAGCCCACAACATGCTGAGGTTAATTGGAGATACCAAATTCCCTATAAGTGTTTCAGTGTATGGTGTGTG